GATACAGTATCGGGAAATGAAATATCGCGATATTTCAATGTATCGATATTTTCTTACACCCCTATACATGAGGGGCCAAAACAATAAAACAAATCAACACTAAAAACACCCCAACATTAAAAACAAGTAAAAAAAACAGCTTAAAAAAACCATGATCTCAAACTGTGTTAAAAGCCAGTGAGTAAAAATAAGTTTTAAGATTAGTTTTAAAAACAGCCAATGAGGTGGCCTGCCTGACGTGTGGGAGTAGCTCATTCCAGAGCTTCGGAACAGCAACTGAAAATGCTCGGTCCCCTCTGAGGGTTCGCTTTGTCCTGGGAACTTTAAGGTGCAACTGATTGGCTGACAGGAGATACCGTGCAGGGGCATAGGGGTGGAGAAGCTCGGAGAGGTAAGATGGGGCAATGCCATGTAAAGATTTAAAAACAAATAAAAGAACCTTAAAACGAACCTTAAAACAGCAACACAGACAAACAGTAAAAGAAAATAGTCAATTTTTTCTGTGTTGCAGACAGAGAGTAACTTCAGGTTTGTTAATCAATAAGCAGTGTTTGTACATTTTATTATCAGCTGAGCTGTGATGAAAAGAAAAATACCATTAAATACTGCGAAAATACCGTGATACAAAATTTGGGTCATACCGCCCAACACTAGTTGATATAATAGGAGCATTTTTAAAAATGCATTATATTTTATTGCTAAAACTCAACCTTAGTTGAGTCAATCTTAATTGGCTTTTAGCAAAAATATCTCATTAACCAGAACCACTAAACAGATTTTAATTAAACTTTCAGAAAAGTAACATTTGATGTACATTCATGACCCAAATCAAGATGGCTGCCACAGATAATAACATGAGAAAACACAAATTTTTCATTATTACAGATTTTGAGCTGAAATTCGAGGAGGAAGTAGCTGAAAGCCAACATCAACATACTGATGTGATTAAAGGCAGCGGATGATGTGCATCAAGGAATGCCAGGCCTTTCATTTCTTACTCAGGAACTCAGTTTGTGAGATTCAGAGTGAGTCCTGCTGACTCATCCATTCAGGAGCAGCTCATTTGCTTCAGACTGAACTGAAGCAGCAGCTGCTGACGTCATTACGCTCTTGCGCGATGCTGCGTTCAGGACAAGCATGGAAAACTCACCACTCTTATGCCAGTACGGTCGCAATGATGCATTTAGGTACCAAAATGGAATCGCATGAACATTCATGTGGTGGTTATGTAATACAGCGAATCAATAATAAAAAATCTGCGTCGACAAATTTACATAATCGACGTCATCAATTATTTCAACTAATCGGTGCAGCCCTACTGTAAAGGCTCCAAACGGCAGCCTGAGTGCGTAATCACTGAGTGATTAAACAGTTTAAATTAGCAGCAGAACGTCCTCCATCAACTGTTCCCTACATCCACCCACTGCAGAGTCCAATCTGGAGTCAGGAGTCTCCTCTCTGGCTGAGTGTGCTGCTCTGTGGAGGGGAAATAACTGATTGGCCAAAGTGAGAAGACTGGTGGAACAGTCAGAGCACAGATTGATGCCAGCAGTAAAGTTAGCTTGTCCAGTTGCCTCCTTTTAAAAAATTGTTTGAACAAGAGGGTTTATATGAGTTTACACCAGATCTCATGGATGATTGTTGGACCAACATGTTTTAGATGATGTGTTAAGAGCAGAAAAGTATTAGTGTTTAATAACAAAACCATTCCGTCTGTTGTATTTAATCAGGTCCATGGTTTATTTAGTCTAATACGGTTGATTTATGAATGTATTTTTTTAAAATAAACCACACACTGTCAATTTATTTCTTTTTTTTTTTTTGCAGCTCCTTTTAAACTTCACATTCATCCATTTGACAGGCTATTATTTAAATTGGCTATGAAATTCCTGCAGAGGCATCAGGTGAAACTCACTGGTGTGCAGATTAAAGCAGGCGGAGGTGCAGCGAGAGGAAGCAGAGACTAAAATAGTCGTTGACTAATGAACCGATTAGTCTACTAAGATAATCCTGACTTGTTTTACCTCTAACAGTTCAGTTTTCAGCCACTTCAGCTGAACCATTCACAGGGATCGACATAACCAGGGGTAGACATAAGGATTTTTTTCAGGTTGCCCAGTGGACAACCTGTTGACAAAATCTGGTTGTCCGCAAAACATTTTKGTTGTCCAAAAATATCAATAAAATATTATTTAATAAGTATATTGTTCTGTATACAAAGTTTACTATATACAAATGTTCTCAGTCAGCCAGGATGACAGTTTCAGGAGCTGCTTGAGTAAAAAACTTACTTGATCTCCTCCTCATCCTCTTTGAAATAGATAACCTCAGAGTATTTAAGGCTCAGAGTTTAAAGCAGCAAAAATATTGCTACTAAAACTTTTCTACACCTAGAGGTTACCCAACATTCATAAACTTCTTTCTGCTTACAGGTCAAACATTTTCACATAAATAGGCGTATACTTTGTACATGACCTTATTAAAAGTGACCGTGTAGTGTTCTTAGGACTAAAGACATTCTGAAGAAAGAGAGATTTTAAACATCTCTTCTGTCATTTTAGTGTTTGAGCTTTTATATATTCACTTAAAAAATATAGCACAAGAAGTTCTTTGCGCAGAAAAAAATATTTATTTTTACTATATTTGTTTTTAACTAAACTGACATGTTTCTCCTCTAAAATTATTGTTTAATTTAAAGGGATTAATTACCTGGTAGAAATAATTTTAGCAGATATTATTTATAACTACAAGCACCTGAAGCTGACTCAGAACTCTGATTTTAGAAAGAAATCAAAGTCAAATGTAGACACGTCTTTGTTATAGGAATTTGCGATGTGGCAAAAAATTCAAATCACGATATACATTATGATGAGTTGCGGTAACGATATAAATCACGATATAAAATTTATAATAGAAAATAAATAAAACACACAATTGAGTGGAATAAATATGTATAAGCAAAAAAATTTAGACCTTAAAATCCCCCTTTTTAAGGGACACTTTAAAGTCTCCCATAAAAATCTGAATTTGGGGGAGATCTACCTGGTTAAATTATACATATATATATATATATACTCACACAATAACTTTAATGTAACAGATATCTTGCATCCATTGGGTGTTGTGTTTGGAATAACCTACTTTGTTTTAAGGTGGTAAAACAAATTGCTTGTATTTATTCCTTTCTACACACTTTGCAGATTATTTTTTCTGCACTCCACCTGTTTAATCTGTGCGCGCTCCAGCAGGATGACAATCATTATAGTCACGCTTTGGAGTGCGCACGCATTCGGCCGTGCGTCGTCACGCTATGACCGCAGGAGAAACGAGGTCCAGACTGATTTTTGTGCGTCCCACCTGAGCACTGACTTCACCTGCACTGACAGTCACCTCGCTGTGTGGAAATGAATGGTGAGCGAGCGACGTCGCCTCCCGTGTGTCGAGCCCTTCACACATGCTGCGGCGCGCGCTCCTCCTGCAGCAAGCAGTGTGGTCGGTCGGCATCCGACCGGAGGACGCGCTGTCACGTAAACATGTAAACAGTTCGGCGTTCATTTTCACACACCCGAACCAGGTCCGGATAAGTTTTTTCTCCCCTCTCTTCATTTGCGCTCTCAGCCAGGCTGCTTCCCSCTTCCTCTGTTTTGACTCCAGCCGGTTACGTCATCAAAAAGAATTGCGCGATTGGCCGGTAGACTACAGATCTCTATCAGAGGACAAATTTATATCGTTTCTACYGTGTATCGTTTATATCGCGCATTCCTACTTTGTTAGAATTTGGGACATATTTTTACAGCATTCATATTAAAGTGCGCACTCATAGCGCACTGCTCCTTTGAGAATTAGATGTTCAAGTGCCCTATGGCTGAGGCTGTAGCTGTCAGTCAAACAGCACATCCTGCCCTCCTCTGTTCTGATTGGGTAAAACTTTTGACTGTGGTTCTCTCTTTTGGGTGAAAGAACTGTCAGTCTAATCTAGGGCTGCGCGGTATCAACCATAAACTACATCTGCCATAATGCATACTAGCCATTCACTAGAAACTCATCAGTGAGTAAAACTTTATTAGTTTTACTTTTAAAATATTTCTATATTTATTTCAGATTTAGTCAGTTGTAGTTAGTTCTTATCAATGTTTAAACATGGACAGGCAGAGACTGGTTAAAAAATTTAGAATGACAAAATGTACTTTTCAAAACCTCTGCGRCGTTCTACGACCTTATTTAACTCGGCAGCACACAAGGTACAGAAGACCTCATTCAGTGGAGATCTGTGTGGCAGTTTGTTTATGGAGACTCACCACTAATTTGGAATTCAGGTCCATCTCCCACCTTTATGGAGTTGGAACATCAACACACTGTCTCGTCACCCAGGAAGTAATAACAGCTATAAATACAGTGTTCCCCCTACCGCTGTAGAGAAGTTATTCAGGCTCAGCATTCACTCTACATTTCTACAAACAGTTCAGTGTTTCTGTGGACAGCAGAGAGAACTGGTCATCAGTGTTTCTGCTGTGAGGTGTTCAGTTTGACTGAAATGTTTAAAAAACCCAAACAAAGGAAAATGAGCTGCAGCATCAGTTTCTGTTCAGTGCTCTTCTTCCTGTCTTAACTCACACCATCTTTCCCTCCAGACTGAAATGGCCCCAAACTCCATCCACTGGTTCAGAAAGGGACTGCGTCTCCATGACAACCCAGCACTACGGGAGGCGGTGCGGGGGGCGGCCACTGTGCGCTGCGTGTACTTCCTGGATCCGTGGTTTGCAGGTTCCTCTAACGTCGGGGTGAACAGGTGGAGGTAAGGGTCATTCAGTCTCTTTTATTGTCTCTCAAAGACGAAGGTGGAGCGAGCATGGGTTGGCCTGCAAGGTGTTAGCAAAATATCAGCTGCGTGGCAACTTTTAATGAAACTTGCAGACAATCACTGGTGCACATGTAAAGCTGATGAACKCTTGTTCAAAATCAACAGCTGATCAACCTGAGCCAACACAAAAAGGGCTAAAGTGAGCTTGAAGCTTTCGATTGTTTTTCAGAGGTTTTGGTTGATTGGGGAAGTGGGCCGGTGTGCTCCAGTTCTCAGTACTGACACTTCTAACTGTTCACCCTCAGCATCTCATCACTTTATACTTCTCATACTTGTCATAAATCTGCTGCTGCTCAGCATCTTCATCWGCAGCTGGGTGAAAGTAGAGCTCGAGGAGCCAGCTGGATGTGCAGCAGGACGGGTGGGGTCAGGCTGATCCTCAGATCAGGGAACTGTCCCACAAACGCTCTGAGTGCAGAGAGGAGGCTGGTTCCTGGAAGGAAACAGTAAATCTGATGGTAGTTTTAGGCTCCGTCAAACAAGATGTCATCCTTTAATGTGAGAGTGGAGCAACACATCTGAATACGTAGCTTTTGGGTTTAATAATTACTCCACATTGACTTACAGGGATGAAAACTACAAACCTTACAGTTCTGCTAAGAAAACCACTTATAAGACTGCAGCGTTCCTCTCAAACCTTTAAATATCTAAATAAAATGATAATCTGTGTTTTACAGAAAAACTTAAGTAGGTATGGGTTGAAGTTAATCGGATTGGATGAATGTTCAATAAGTTGTGTTATTTAGTTTTTTATGCCATCAGTCGTGTGTGAGGAGCAGCTAACTGATTCCATCATTATTATGATGTTAATATTATATTATTATTATTGCATTACTGCTATGCCTCTAGCCCTGATTGTTTTGTGTGGATCTGGTCTTAAAACTGTAGAGTCCAGTTTCACAGTCCTTCAGGCAGTGGGTTGCACACGCTGCTGTGTTTCCTGTAGGACTGAGAGGACTGCAGTTCTTCTGAAGGCATCATGATGTCACCATTTCTCTACTTTCTAAACTCTAAATCTGGCCACACAGATCCACTGGTTATTCTGCTTAAATTGAACTTCAGTGGACAGAAAACATGTTCAAATTGTAAATATTTAGCTTGTGAAAATTCAGAATGAGTACTTTTTATTTGACCTTTTTCTGTTATTGATGATAAAAGCAGCAAAGAGAATAAAGATGCTTGTTTAATAAATAACTGGTCATTTCAGTGATTTTAAGAGAATCAAAGTATGAGCTGGAGTCTGAGAGGTTTTCCACCACAAGGTGCCCTTTTGTCTAAATCTGCTCTCACATAATCCCTCCTCAGGGTGGAGGTCAGTCTGCAGGTGGACTGAGGGCTCAGGCTCAGGGTCTGGGAAGAAACCAGGACTCTGTTGGAAGTGGGTCAGGAGGCTGCAGTCTCTTATCAACCAGATGTGTTGGTCCACATTGAAGGGCTCAGTCCTGTTGGTTCATGTGAGCAGGAACTCTTATTTGTAGGTCATCAGACATCACAGGGTCATTTCCAGCTGTTGTTGTCAACTGCTGCCACAGCTAGAAGGTAGGCCTGCAACTAATGACTATTTTGATAGTCAACTAATCTGTGATTGTTTTTCGAATTAGTCGATTAGTCAATGATTATTTTTGTCACGACGTCCATCCTGTTCCAGCTCCAAGGCACATCTCATCTCACCTGCTCATCATACCTGTGACTGTCACCCTGCTATCCACCTTAACATAACAAGTTCCCAGCTAATTAAAATAACCCATGAAACACAGGAATTTGAACCTTACTCAGATGTATTTTAACATTAATGTGAACAACACTGCAAGTTGTCTTTTAATCAAACAGCTAATATACAGATAACTCAAAATATCTGCCTCTCCACAGCATGAGGGGCTGTTAACCTGCCCTGCTGCAAGTCGTAAATAAACTAAACAATAACTTTGGTTAAAGTGACAGTTAGGTGCATAAAAAATAATCCATCCTGTATGAAATCTTGCTGAATGTTTCAGGTCAAAAGTTTATAAGGCTTCAACGCCATCAAAAAATGGGTTAAGACGAGACTGGATGGAATAATAGTTTAGTTCAGTGATTAATATAAAACACTTAGTTACATTAGCATATCTGATAGCTGTCCTTCCAACAAACAGTGTTTTCTGATGGTAAACTAACAAAGCCTGACAAACTAGCTTCTTCTGTGGTTTGCAGAGCGCCACACACCTTCTTCTTTTTTAAACAAACCAACCACAGATCACAGAAGCGATTCTGCTCCCAGCACTTCATGAATTGCATTGCAGTTACAAATGAACGTTTATGTGGGTAAATAACATGATGTGTCGACGTTAAAATTCCACATTGACTTATTTTTATAATTGACATCGCCCTAGTAGAAGGGCGACCATGCTTTTTGGGCTTTATGTTTGAGTTTGAAGGAATAATTTGGTCACTTTTGAAGTGATATTTTGTGAAACGATCCACACTGTAGAGGTTTATTGTCTGCTCATGTGTCCTTCGTTTACACCAGTATGTGGATTTTATCTGCAGCTTTACTAACCTCCCAGGTTCAGACAGAAGTAACAGAACACGCCCAGGTGATGGGACATCTGTAGGGCACTGAGCAGCAGTCGGTTATCCTCTTAGTGTCGATATTTTTACTCTACCAGGAAGCTGCAGTGTCTGCTTCATCTGTTGCTTTGGAATTAAACTGTCTCGTGAACTGTTCCAGCATAAGTACAGGAGGCAGACACACACACAGCCCGTTGCTGTCAGGCAGGAAAACACGATGAAGACTAGAATGTTGAAACTGTTGGGTTTGTGGACTTGAATTATCAGTGTTTGGTGTTTGCTCCAAGCTAGCTTCGAGTCATTAATTGGTCAAGAACGTAAAACCTTGAAGGCGAGCATTGCTTGTAGAAATACATATTGCCTGCTGCCTTTCTGGTTTTACAGAGTTTTTCTTCTGATCAGGTTTTGATCTGTTGAAGATTGACAGAGTTGTGATGTGACAATTTTGGTCAAACTTTGAAAAAAACATGTTATAGCTCTCTTGTGGCAGTCATCTTGGACATTCACCCAATGATCAGTTTCTTACAGTTAAATTCTAATCTGTCCACAGGTTTCTAATAGTGACACACAGGTTGAAGCATTATTGGCAGTAGATATCACTATATCTCTCCCAGAATAAAAATAATTTTCTTACCGTTCTTATTAAAAAGTTTAATTTACAGTCTTTGGTCTCTTTTAGCCTCAGCATGTCTGACCTAAATTCTGTGTTTGTGAGCACCTGATAAAAGGTCAGATGAATAAAACCTGAAAGCCCCTTTAGATAACCAATACAGAAATCAGAGACTAGGACTGCTTTGTGTAATTGAAACAAAACCAGTGTGTCCTGATAACCCAAACTGATATTGTCACATGTTTATTCGGTCTCTGAGTGTTAAATATCAAGTCTTTTCTGGTCAGATGAAATCTTCTGAAAAACTTGGAACTGAATTAAAGGCCTAACAACCCTTGAATGGTAAATGGACTGTACTTATATAGCGCTTTTACTCAAAGCGCTTCACATTCACACAGCACCAGTGGCGGCTGGTGGATTTTTCTCCAGGGTGGGCTACAACTCCAAAATAGACGTATCTCAGAAAGCAATCAAACGTACTAAGTTGTATCACGCCTGTGTATTTATTAAACAAATGAAAATAATAAAACTGCATTACGATGTCATGTAGTGTTTTATTTTCTGTACATAAATTTTGCTCTTCTGTTACTGAGAAGCAAATTTCTTCATGACTCTGGTTAAAGTCAGGGRTGTTTTAACCAGATTCTTATAGAGCATGGTCAGTGCAGTGAGATGTGATGTTGTACCTGAGGAAAGTCTGGATTGTCTTCAGTGTTGAGAAGCTCCTCTCAGATTCAGCTGTGGTCAGAGGAGATGTGATGAGAATCTTCAGCAGAGTCACAGTCTCTGAAGGTGTCCTGCAGATAGTTCCTCATGAAGAGCTGGTCCTGTTCAGCACTGGGTGAGCCTCCATGGACTTCAGAGCTGCTTCAGAAAATTGTCTGTGATCCTGCAGGAACCTGTYAGCCTGCAGCACTGTAGCTATGATCAGATGCATGTGAATGGCTCAAGATGGTGTCACAAACCTAAAACAATAAATGCACAAATTTAATTCAATATGAAGACGGCTACAAGTGAGCTTTCTAATATATATTTAATATGAAAACAATTTGTTATTTTAATAGCAACAAATTGTTGCAGTTCGAAGGTTAATTATTACATTATGTTTATTTTAAAAATGTATTCCTTTTATCAAAAAACAAAATAGACTATGCACAACAGAAGAAAAAAATATAAATAAAATGAAAGGCAGCAGAAAGAAGAAAAATGTCTTCTAATATGTCAATGTCAATTTATTTACAGTATACAGCATATAAAAACAACAAAAGTTGACCAAAGTGCTTCACAATTCTGCCAAATGAATAAAACAGAGCAACACGTACATGTAAACAATAAGATCATTTTAAAATAGAAAAAAAGGCATTAAAAACATCTTTAAACGATTCTCAAACTCTACCAGAATGAAAGGCCAGGGAGTAAAAATGAGTTTTAAGCAGAGATTTTAAAAGTCTCAACAGTCTCTGCAGTCCGAATGCTAAGAGATAAATCATTCCAAAGGTTTGGGGCAGAAACTGCAAAGGCCCGATCACCTCTAAACTTTAGCCTGGATCTAGGAACATCTAAGAGAAACTGGTTGGATCGAAGTGCTCTAACTGAAGTGTGGATGTAAATGAGATCACACATATCTGCCTCTTTTTAAAGAATAAATTCAAACAATAGTAATTTTACAAAACTAAACAAAAAACATAAAAATACTTTTATATTAAGTTTTGTTACCCATTAGGGAACACCAAAGCAATCTAACTCCAAGTAAATCAAACTTCTGTGAAATCAAACT